CAACTGATTAACTTCTCCCTCTGATTATGGGTCAAAATTCCCTGTTTCTTTGTGTGCCTGGTAACCTAGATTGGACACTGGACATTGTGAGTTTTGCCTTGTTGGTGCTACATATTTGCATATTGCCAGAAGGATTCTTGAACTCTGTTCTGGAGCACAGTTAAACTACTTGGAAGCAGTTCAATCCTTTCAGATTTGCTTTTTAGATTCGTTAAGCAGAGCCGCAGAGAACGCAGTCTAGGTCTGATTTGGTTGCACCACCTAGGCAAACACTTCCTGGCGCTCCCCCGGTGCTCCATGAATTATGATTTCATGCTCTGGCCCTGTGTAGCCACTGAAAAGTGTTCACTTCCATCCTCTTGGGTGTTTCTCTCCCCGGCCTCGAGCATTCCCTCACACAGGCATGTGGATAGGTTGCCCGCTGAAGCCTCACGGGAGACCCCGTGCATACTTCTGGAGTTCTTTCTCCGTGCAGCTCCCTCCTCTCCTGCCCGCTCTAGCTGCCTTGGCCTCCCCAGACGCTCTGTTTCCTCCACTCAGGGCGACCACCAGGATCCGCCTGGGTCTCCCTCCTGGCTGCTGCTGGGACACGCTCCTGGAGGGCTGGAGCAATCATGGCGCTCCCTGGTCTGTTTCTCGTCTCCCAGGGGTCACTCTCCTTTCCTGACTGATGCCCAGTGCCTTTACAACCCTTGTTTCACATACGCTGTCTCTGTTTTCAGTGATTTCAGGCAGGAGGACCAATCTGGTCCTTGTGGCTCCATCTCGGCTGCCCTTTTTTAAAACCTTTGCCTTGAATGGAAACTTGCCAGGTTCAGGTGCTCTCCTTCAGGCCTTCTTCTCTGTCTAATTTAGCAACTAATCTAAGAAAGCAGCCGGAATTTGCTAGGAAGAGCAGCAATGTTGCGCTTACAGAGGCTAAAGTTTGATGTCACTTTGTTCTCACAGTTTGACCCTGAGCAAGTTACTTACTCTCCGAGTCTCAGTTTCTTCATTTATCGCTGGGGGCAAGCATAGCACTGTGAGGGTTAATTTTAAGTGAAAACCTGGCTAGGCTGTGGTGCTCGGTTGTCTGGTCAAACGTTAGTCTAGATGTTGCTGTGAAGATATTTTGTGAAATGAGTAACATTTACAATGAGTTGACTTTAAAGGGAGATGCCCCTTGATAACTGGGTGGGCCTCACCCAATCATTTGAAGCAAAAACTGAGGTTTCTGGAGAAGAAGGAATTCTGCCCAAGACTCTAACGTAGAAATCCTGCCTGAGCTTCTCTCCTGCCAGCCCGCCCTACGGATTTGGGACTCGAGACTGCAACTTCAACTCTTGCCTGTGTTTCCAGCCTGCCAGCCTGCCCGCCTGCCCTGTAAATTTTGAACTTGCCAGTCTCCACAATCACCTGGGTCAATTCCTTAAATAAACCTCTCGAAGCAGGACAATTGTTATGATCAGTTCTTTTGTTCTCTTTCGTCTGTTTCCCGTACTCCCCTACCAGGTACTTATTTTAAAAATCAATGTTGCAAGCAGCTTAGGTGTGCGGGATTTCATTTTGTCACTTACAGAAGGTAGTCTTCCATAGCAGCAGTGTACAAGGCAATCTTTTAAATGAAGCCAATTGTGTCTTATAGTATATCAACTTACATATTAAACAAATGCGGACCTGCAGGGTCAGCAGTGGAGGCTGCGGGGCAAGTGATAGACATTGTTTTCCCACAACTTCAAGTTTTCACACTTATTTCTGTCTAGGGCTGCCCTGAAATTGTCCTCGCCTCCACCTCCTCCCTTCACAGAAGCTTCCACTGGGGCCAGTGAAAAACCCGGGGCTCAGAGCCAGGGAACTGAAGCGGGGCACCCAAAGCAGTGGCAGGGTGAGGCTGGACAGACAATGAAGGAAAGATCAAAGCCCACATTTTTGTGCTGAAAAATCCAGGGCAATCGATACACATCAGCCTGACTTACACTCAGCAACACGGGGTAAATAGCTCTGACTTTCCATTCTGGGCCCTAGAGAATTAAGAGCGCTAAGAGAGGAATCTTTTAAACTAGGAGAACATCCTTTTGCTAAAAATATTTGAATTTTTCATCTTCTTACAATATTATTTACACGATCACCATGACATTAAAACCTGGTATTTCTGGCAATGTGTCTTCACTATTAAGCATCTATACAGAGATCATGAAGTGAGACTTTATGCAGAAAATCTGTGTGGACCTTTGCTCTATCAGTCTACTTGCTCAAGTAGATGTATGTATTAATTCAGTTATAGAAATAGTGACTTAAATAATGGATGAGGTCTTACCACTTTCTGTAGACAAAGAGATTTATGCAACAGGAGAAAAGACAATTGTTTTCATTCTAGTAAACATGTATAATTTATAGCAAAGGGAAATAAGTGAAGAATAATGATGGGAAAATATTAGATATTTTAATTTATCCAGTATTCTTTTTCTTTTTGCAGTGGGTTTAGGAAATTAAAACGTGTAAGCCAAAGAAGGTGAAGTTTTAAGTCCTATGATATTCTGACGTGACTATTTTAGTCACATAAAAATGTAAATTCCTTGCTTTGGAAAGAGACAGGACAATGGGAATAAGAAAAGAGGCACTCTTTAACCCAAGGATGAATCTTAAAATGATGCTTGATTTACTCATTTAACCTCCATGATTTGATTCATGCTATGAAACTGGCACAAATAAACACTAAATGAGGCATTTTAGAATAAATTTAAGATTGAAAGCTTTGGTGGAGCGGGAACTATACTATATATCATTTGGGAAATCCCATTTCTCTGAAAATTTTGACTTTCTTTATGCTTTTATTGGCTTTTTCTTGCCAGTTTTTAGTCTCCATAGTCGAGTCATTATGACTGTTAAAAAGAAAGCCAGAATTCATGCAAAAACATATGAAAGGAGACTAGATTAATTTTGAAATTATAGACACTCCAGGAAACTATAAAGTTAACACACCTGCTATAAAACATACTTGGACCACTTTCACATTTAATAAAAAATATACTCCGCCGAGTATTAACACTAAACAACATCACCCAGAAATCCATTAATCGTTTTGCAGCTTATTGGAAGACTGGAATCCCACTATTCCCACCATAGCAGAGCGCTATATGAAAACGCCTTCACAGCCCCACAAGGAGCCCTGAAGTCATGCCAGATTACATTTTCCCCCCAATCAGCGGAATCTACCGTTAAACGAAAATAGAAAAATTTCAAGCATATCCACAGAGACATTACAAACTACTTAGACATTAAATTATCTAATCTAAGATGGGTCTATGACCAGAATGGGAAGATTCTCGAAAGAGGATGAAATATTTATTTAAAGGGCCAATGCATCATGGGACGCATAGTGGGTTTGTAACACGTTCAGTAAATCACTATGTTCTCACTTCAGGGAGTCCGAACTGCAATTTCCTCTTAACTGAATTTTGGTTGTTCAATAAAACCAGATATTACACTATACTAAGAAATAACCTAATAAATAGTGATACAGACTTTGGTTGTTTCCCCTCCTTCCTGCGAAACTTCTCTGGAATTTCCTGCTTCTCTTTTATGTAAGACATTTCTGTTTTCCATCGTTTTTCTAAGGCTGATTAGTTTGTATCATTTCTGAAAATGTATTTTTCTTTAAAAATATCAGATTAAAAAATTCTCGGCCTTACATCGTCTCATAAAGATTATGCTCTGATTAAAACCAGACCCAGATTGTAGGCCTGCTTTCATTTTTTTCCAAAACACAAACAAGAGAAATTTCAATAAAAACATTCCAGTTCCCACCAGAGACGCTGGTGATGGTAATCCAGGTCTTACCCTATCTGCAAATATGCATCCTGCACGCAGGGCCTGCGTGGAAGTATTTTAAAAGCTTAACCTAAGATTTTCATATTAAGAATGGAATGTAGTATCTTTTGATTCCTTAAAACCCTAATTTTGAAGAAAGGCACCCTTTAAAACAACTTGGGTAATGACCTGGGACTGCTAACAGGTATCCTGTTAAATAATGGGTTCACCTGCTGCTTTTTCTCAGTCCTTTTTAAAAGTGGGGAGACAGCACGCAAAGACACATGAGAAAGAATGTGCGTTGTTGATTGCATTGTTGATTGCAAACAACTATACCGTTTATAACGGCCAACGATTGCACGCAGCCTGCCTGCCCATCCTGACGGACTGATATGTAAGTCGAAGTGTGGGAGGCGTGCTGGAGGAGGGGTTTAGAGCAGAAGCTCCGGAGACGAGCTGCCTGGTTACAGATTCTGGTGCCACTACTCACTAGTCATGTGACCTTGAGCAATTTACTGAAACCTTAGTTTTCTCATCTGTAAAATAGGGATAATAAGGGGCCGTCCTAGTGGCATAGTGGTTAAGTTTGAGCCCTCCGCTTCCGTGGCCCAGGGTTTGTTGTTTTGGATCCTGGGGACGGACCTACACACCACTCACCAAACCATTCTGTGGTGGCCTCCCACATACAAAATAGGGGAAGGTTGGCACAGATGTTAGCTCAAGGCCAATCTTCCTCACCAAAAAAATAAATAAATAAATAGGGACAATAATAATGGCTAATGCTTAAAGTTGAAGTGAAGTGTGAGATAACAGTTGCTGGTATCCCTAGTCCCTGGCACACAAGAGGCGCTCCATACACAAGTGTGGAATGAACATAAAGCGGTGGCAAGGGGGCCCAGCAGATAGCTGGCATTCAGACTGTAGCTATTATTGTGGTACCTCCACACCATGGAATAGTAGGCGGTAATTTAAAAACTTTATGTATCAATATGTAAAAATAAATAAAAATTTCAAAATAGAATATAAATTTTAAAGTATAAGGTGCTACAATTTTTGCAAGAAAAATGTCCCAAATGTACAGAAAAGTACACACATATTTTTATATATTTACATTCACACCCACCAGACCATCTCTGGAAGCATCCACAGACACCCACAGGCTTACTTTCCTTTGCAGCCTCTTTTGCACTGTTTGACGTTTGGCCACTTACCTACATGGCAGGTTGATTTTCTGGAAGCAGCTTCTGCGCAGAGCCGGTGTGAGGGGCGATTATGAAGGAGTTCTCTTGGAGAGGAAGGGGAGGGAAGCAGGACTGGGCGGAAGGAGCAGTTGATCTGTGATGGATTCCCAGCAAAGCCTCAGTCCGCCCTGTGGGGAGCTCTGAAGCTGCGACGGCCCCTCGGAGTGGTCCCAAGATGGGGCAAGGGTCTTCATACCCCCAACTGATCAGTCCCTGGATGCTGGCTGTCCCTGGAAGCAGGCGACCTTGGGTGAGGTGGTTTTCTTCTGCCGAGGCAATCTCCAGAGAGGGTCAATGGTAAGGGCCTTCTTCCAGCACATTCCCAGCAGCTGGGAGATAATCCCCCCTTCTTGAAGGATACAAGACAGTATCCACTACATTACCTGTTCTTTCAATAAATGAATGCCATAGCTATCAAGGATTTAATTTCCAGTCTCAGTAGTGAAAACAGAGGGGCAGCCCAATCATGGGGATTAGGCAGCCTTTCTGATGCCAGAAGGGGTGCCACCGGGCTATCCTGCCCCCAGCCCCCAGGTTTTGTCCTACACCACCTGACAAAATTTAACAATTTGTTGAGGAATGGTTTAAGCAGTGTTTCCTGGAGAAACTTATTTGTGTATACAACTGCCTTAATAGATGACTCAATAATTGTGTATTACCTATCAATAATTCACGTGAAACGGCCAGTAGTGAACAAGACATCGAAACTGTCCAGTTTTCCTACTTTAGACCTTATTAATGTTAGTGAGAGTTTAGATTAAATTCTCCGGACAAGCAGAGGAGCATGAATGTAGTACAGAGCAGTGTTTCACAAACGGCATGCTGCACTCTGGGCTATGAAAGACCTCCACTGGCCCTCTCTTTAGAGCAAAGACACTTGCTATGGAAAGGAAATTTGAGAATTTTTACATATACATATTTTTGCCTTTAAAAAAGGAGAAACAAGGAAGAAAGAAAGTTTCCCTAATGTTTGCTAAACATAAGGAGGTTGGCTCCTCATTCAGTCCACGAGATTGAAATGAAATGGCCTCATTTCAAGTGCAGCAGAAGAGTGAGCCCTGATTCCACAACACTGAGGAGAGTGACAAAGACATCTTTGCTTTTAGCCTCTTGTAACATTTTTCAGTTAACTCGTTCTTGGTGAACTGGAGTGCCAAATTTTATTTAGTTTTAACTAAACAAACTTCACAAAATTATTATGTGGCATTGACTATTGACTATTTTGGTAACATGGTATCCCGGATTTGATCCTGGAACAGAAAAAAAAACAACAATGGAAGAACTGGAGAAATTCAAATGAAGTCTGTAGTTAGTAAGACTTTACTAATGTTAATGTTAGTTTCTTGTTTTTGATAAGTATGCTCTGGTTATACGAGATGTTAACCTTAAGGGAAGCTGCATGAAGGGAGTATGGGAATTCTTTGATCTATCTTAGCAATCCTCCCATAAACCTAAAATTCTCTCAAATTAAAAAGTTCTCGGGGCCAGCCCCGTGGCCTAGTGGTTAAGCTCAGGACACTCTGCTTCAGTGGCCTGGATTCAGTCCTGGGCACAGACCTACACCACTTGTCTCTTAGCAGACATGCTGTGACGGTGACCCACATACAAAATAGAGGAAGATTGGCAACAGATGTTAGCTCAGGGACAATCTTCCTCACCCAAAAAAAAGAAATCTATTTGAAATATAGATTTTTACATCCATTATTGCCAGCACTGAACACTGACCTGAGTGTATAGTGTTCCTCTGCAATATAAGAGGATGATAGAACAGAATTACCATGATTAGCAAGCTACAGGAAATGAAGAATTCAGAATAAAAAAAGCAAGCCTCTGGTTCTGTTTGAAGCCTAAAGTTGCATGATTCTCAATCTAGGATTTTTAAAACAATTTACTAAATTTTTTTACATAGTTAGAAACCACTTTTGAGATTTCTCATCTAATAGCAAATACACCATCGGAAAAACTGCAGTAGACAAATAACTTACATAGGCAACGGCAAAAAGTTAAAATGCTGTCTTTAGTTAGAAAACCCTTTAGAAGACACAAAGCACAAAGTGTAGTAAAAGTTACAAACTATGGGATGATCGCTAAATGAATTTGTCTGAATGAATGAAAGTTGAGATGCTTCTAACGTGACTCCATAGTTGAGATTCGATTTCAATAATGAAATACATGAGGAAACGCTTTGATATGGCCTGCCAAAGAAAAGATGTTTCAGAAAAAGATGCATACTCAAAGAGAAGGGACTCTTTATGAAAAAATGGAGATGGGCTGGTATTCCATCTCCAAGAGTATAACCACTCTTGGAGTGGTGGCTTGGACAGAATTAAAGAAGAAAAGACACCGAGGAAAACGTCCAGACCTGTCCTACCTGTGACATTCACTGACTGCATCAGTCACAAGGTCGTCGTTGAAACAAAAAATCTGAACCAGAAATCCACGAAATGTTACAGGATGTCACCAATGTGATGACCTGAAAGAAAAATAGAAATAGAATCTTCATGACCGAGAAAATCTTTTGTGCCCTTAGAGGGTTTTAAGTTGTCTCATGGCAAAGCACGTAAAAGCATTATTAAATTTGAGATCGTCATTATTCTTGTACAAATACAAATGTTCCTAACATGCTGACTTTTTTGTGGTGACGAATGGCTGCCGTACAATCCAGCAGATATTTTCAAAAACAAAATATGCTTCATCTGTCCCTTTGAGACAAAGGTGAGGAGAAACTGATATTAAAATGAGAAGGTAACAACTTTTGAAAGAAATCCATGCTATGGAAACAGCATTCTGAAAATGGACGTTCAGAAATGTTTCTAATTTATGTGGTTTCTGTTGCTAGAAACAAATGTAAAAACTCCTATTTGCCCACGTAGAAATCCTAGAAGCAGAATTTTGTAACCTGCCCCCAGTTTTTCCAAATGAAGGATTTTATCACGTTTTGAATATGTTTGCTAAAAATATAAAAAATGCCACACCTTCTGATTAATTTGCAACAACAATTTGACATTCAGAAAAATGGAAACTTACTAGCCCATAAGAAACTTGGGATAATTAGTGGATGGAATTAAAAAATCAGCATCAATTTAGTAAGTGCCCTAAAAAAAGGCACTTCTTCCACTTGATTCTATATATCTTTGTGAAGCATATTTTCACTTATTGTAAGTAACAAAATATAATGAACTCAAAACCAGCATCACAAATTGTTTTTGATCTTGCTGTATCGCAAAGCATTAAACCAAGATTTTCACCAAATTTTAAAAATATTATTTCAACTTCTTTCCCTTAAAAAGCATCTATTTTTAATGTTTCTAATTGTTCATAATATGTTAATATTAAAGCACAATACAGTATATAAATAAACACAGATATTCAAATTAAATATTTTAAAAGTGCATGTATCGAAGGCACACGCTCAGAAGGTTTCTTGATAGGGACACGTGATATACAGTCTTATATGGAGGACAGCTAATCTGAAACAGCAAACAAAATGTGTTGGTTTAGTTCTCTACAAAATCTATCAGAGAAAAACAATGTTCCCCACAATACACATAGCATACCAATCCTCTCGTCCATTGATCCCCCTGTGCCAAGCAAACAGAATGGAAAGCTGATTACATGAGCATTTTCATAATTGTTCAGCAATGTCATTCATTTGCCTTTGGATGTCACATTCGTGGAGCACAGCCCCAGAGGTTCTCATTCAGCAGGAAAACTAGGGTAGGCCCAAGAATCTGGACCATTAACAAGTACCATAAACTCTTAAGAAGTAATTCCTCATTTGGAAGATAAAGAGAGTAAGTTCTAGAGAACTGAAGTGACTTGGCCAATGGTACATGGTAACTCTCTAACCAGGGGCAGAACTAGGACCTCCCTCGACCCATCCTTTCCCTATCCAGGGGGACTCTTTGGGTCTGTCTTGCTCCTACCGTGAAAATCTGGTGCCTGACCAGTTTGATATTAGCAGATTGGAGGAAAGCAATTGATTCAAAGCTTCAGCTCGAAATCACTCTTCACTTGCAAAATATCCTTTGAATTTTCTGGTGAGACCAACGGTCACATTGCTTTATACAGCTAAAAACAAAAGGTTATTGTTGGGCTTGTTAGTGTCGCCATGTTGCTAGGAGAGCCTCGCAATGGAATTTACCAGGCAACACTAGCTTCGTTTCTCCACTTCAGCCCTGCCGTGTGCCAAGGACGCTGCGTATGTGCAAGGGGAGAGAGAGGATGCATCCCAAGGCCAAAGCCAGAACACCAAGTGACGGGCGAGTTTTCCTCCCGGACTTTGTGGGAGAAGAATCGAAGACAAGCATGAAAGTCCCAAAATCACAATAGGGCTCTTACGATTTTAAGAATAAGCACATATGAAAATTTCAAATATTATTCTGTTTTTGCCTTTGTGGTACCCAAACCTGCTCATTTCTCCTTGACAACAGTTACAGCAAATAGCAGTAAAATGGGCCTGAAATCTACATGCACATATTTTGTTGGAAGTAGGCAATGACCTGGCCCCAAGTTTGATTTGCTGGCCTTGGGAACTCTCCACGCATAGTGATGCAAGGCTGGGACATTGGCCCCAACCCCTTGTTGACCACATCAGTAAATACAGATGAAAAGGGTGGCACAGGCTGCAGAGGAATGGACCAGTGCTCCGCAGGTGAGGTAAGTCACAAGGTGCTCAACTGGGTGCTGGCAGGAAGAACACAGATGCATCCCTCCTCAGCACCAGGATTCCAAACTCCACCCGCTTTCTTTCCTCTGTTATTTACATCCCAGAAAATATGCCTCCAAGTGTAATGTGTGCATATATATACACATGTATTTTCAGAGTGAGAGAAAACAGAGAGAATAAAAGGAGATGCAACTCACCAGCTAACATTTTTGAAATGTTTGACAACTGCCGTTGGGAAAGCAATATAGCTCTTGCTTAGAAAATATAACATATTTTAATTTAAAAATATCCCTGCTTTTTTGGGGGGAGGGGGAGGACTTGTTTTATAAACCCCCCAAAGCTGAGCATGGTTGTCATTTCTGGATCTTCCTGCCGAGCGCTAACATGAGGCCACTTCCCTGTGACCACAGGCTGGGGGCACAGCCATGTGCTCTGAATTCTGAGCACAAGGCCAGTCGAGGGGAAGGGCGTAGTGTTTGCAAGGCAGACCCTACCTTTGGGTAGAAATGGGGAAACAAAAAGCAGCCAGGAAGGATTCTGGGAGAGTCAGAATTATGGGGAAATCTTCCACTTCAGATGCTTGGTGGGCCCTCAGGACTCAGGCCCGCCCAGCGCCAGTGGTGAAGCACATCCCACAGCCCTGTGCCTGCTGGCCACCCCTCCTATAGATAGTGATGCTCTGGCTAACAAGCCGAGGGGGTGGAGGATGTCCCTGGCAGAACTTGGGCCCTACCTCTTCAGAATCTACTCATTGGGAGCATCTCCTGTCATTTACATTATTTTCACTCCATAGCTGTTATTGAGAATGGTAATATTTGCATGGTCGCTGGGACCACAGCTTGAGGCTGGAGGGGATGAGACAGATGGGAAGGGAGGCTCCAGCCCCCAGCCGGCTGCCCCAGGGCTGAGGGCATCAGTTTCTCAGTCCACCTCTTAACCCAATTGGCCCAGAGGTTGGGAAGCTCTGGTGCACGCCATAGGCCTCTCTCTATGTGGCGAATGAAAGCCTTTGTCCCGCAGTAACAGATTCGGAGGGATATGAGCACCTTCTGAGTGGCCCTGGAGTCCTGGTGCCAGGCTGTGTCCTGTGAAGGCAGCCCGTCATGGTTTCCTGTTGTGGGAAACCAAAGGCAGTGCTCGAACAGAAGAAGAATGGAGCCCTGTGGGGGCTCAGAAATCCCTGGCAGGTGCCCCAGGTGGAAGAGGGCCCCCCAAGTGCCTGTCTTGTGCCAGGGAGGAGGAAAGGGAAGTGCCCAGAGGCCCCAGCTGCTGAAGCAAGCATCTTTCCTCCTCTGCAAGGGGAGAGGGCCACAGGGGACGCCCTGTGCTGCCGCACCTGGATCTCAGAACTCAGGCTCAAGATGGAGTGGGTTGGAAGCTTCTGGAGTAGCTCCTGTGCCCAGGCCTCCCCGTGCCTCTCCTGAGGCCCTGCAGCGGCCTCCCGCTGGGAATCATGCCTCCAAGGAATCATGCACGAGGGAGGACGGCTGGCAGGCACGCACGCGACTGGATTTGGATCCGATAAGGCGACAGTGAAGAATATTGGCGGGCAATCTACAGAGGGAGGACCCACCAAAGACGCGGTGGGGAAGGTGGGCTCTCATTGCCTTGCACGTTGTTGGCAGGGAGGAAGTCATTTCCCTCACACACTGGGAGTAACTGCCCCCTCAACGACGACCGATGCAGTCAAGGGCGGTTCACGTCCCCGCTCAGAGAAGCCGGGAGCATGGTTTCCACTGAGGCTTGTTTTAGTAATTTCAAAGCGAGATGGCTGCCAGACTAAACAACAAAATTCTCTTCTTGTTTCCAGAGTTTTATCAATAGGAATCATGCTTTATTAGGCTATTTTTTTAATCTGTAGTCTTTAGTGACTCTTCAAATTCCATGCAGCTAAGTAGTCGTGACCAGCGTGTCACAGCCGGAGACAGACCACGGAGACTGGAAGACGGCGGTTTTCTGACAGAGTTCCCCAGAAACACCGTCTTTCCAGCTTAGCTCAGATGATTTTTCTCACCCCTAACTCTGTCCCCATCTTTTCTAACAAAAAACTCCAGTTACTTCAAGATTCCAAGACCAATAAAACCACAGCAGGGTCGGGCTGCAACTGAACAGGCATGGCCGCAAAGACCCAGAATCTCAGCACCGGAAACTCGGTCAGCAGATCCTAGAGCCCAGGAGGGGCAGAGAAGTAGGGAGCAGGCAGCGCCCGGGGGACTTGGCATCGCGCAGACTGCAGCCTGGGAAAGCAGGAGCGGAAGCCAGGAAGTGAGAAAGCAGAGCCGCAGAGATGGCAGGCGCAGAGCCAGGAACAAGCAGAGATGCCGGGAAGGCCTGCGGCGCCCGTGGGCGAACGGAGCACGGAGCACGACCCGGAGCCTGTGCTCTCACAGGCCTTCCTCCGTGGCTAACCCAGTCCCCGCCGGGAGGCTGGGCCCAGCCGGAGCACAGCAGCACCAACGCTGTGCAGCCGGGAGGCGGCGGCGGCCAGCGGCAGCCTCACTGCCTCCTTTTGCTTTCAATGCACGGAGTCCTTCCGCGGCTCCCGTTAGCATCCTCGTTCTCCTTTGACTGTAGTGACTGAGGCCTCTATCACAACAGACCCAAAACCCCTAAGAGGCAGGGGATAAAGATGGAGAAGAAGGGATGTAAAATTTAGCTCCTGTGGGTAAGGAAGTATTTCTTCATATGGTGACAGGAAGCTAGCAGTGGGACAGAGTGGTGGACTCTGGGAGAAATGGAAAAAACTATTATATTTAGAGCAGGGAAGTCCGAATGATGATTTTTGTAAGGTGTGCTGGGATAAAGGTGTGCTTGCAGCTGGAGGTAACTGGTGTTTGATGTCAGCCCAGCAGGACTCACCTGGAGGCCCCAGCGCTAAGTAGGGGGCTGAGGGGGGCCAAGATCTCCTCACCCCTTCCAGGGGTGAGGAGCTCAAATTGGGAAAACTAGGAAGAAAGAAAGAGAAACGAAGCATGACATGATTGCGTTTGGATCAATCCACAGAACTCCATCCTACCCCATGCTGGACGCCAAGCTCCATCCCAAATCTGAAGACACCTCTAGGCGTAGGCAGTGGTTCCTGCCCTCACGGAGCTCTGAGTGGTAGAGGGGAAAATGGAGACAGAAAGGTGCTAGTTAGGATGGACAAGCGGGAGCCATGGGGTGCGACGGGAAGCGAGGGTATTCTTGTGTTCAGACTCCCTTTAGTGCATTTGGTGGGGCCGCTCTTTTTCTGTCCTGGGGGAAAACTCAGGAGTCCATGACTTCCCTGGTCACATTTAGATGTTATGTGTGCCGCAGTCATTTAAATCTCAAAACATCATCTCATTTCAGTAACTAATATGTCTAATCAAGTGTAATAATCAAAAGCTTCATGCTTCATTTAACAGTAAAACTTCTGCCTCCTCCCCCGTCGCATTGCTCTCAAGCTGATGTCTGCAGGAGCGAGATCGCCCCCGCACCGTGCCCTGCTCCCGGCTGTGGTTCTGACTCCTCCAATGTGGAGAGAGGCAGGAGAGGGGGAGGAGGAGAGACAGGGAGCCAGGAGCTTCTTACTGGACTACCCATAGCGGTGGGTTTGCACTCTTTCGGCTGGCAAGTGTTCCAGCAGCTTCTTTCTTGAACCGTGCAGTCACAGGCTCTACACTCCCTATTCCCAACTCAGTCACAATCCTGGAGATGGTTCCACCCCGACCCCTTGGTGCTCTGAATGCATCTCCTCTGACTGCTCACTTTCTGCGCTTTTCTCAGCTCCTGAGGATCTGAAGTCACACTCTATTCCTCTGCTGGCCCTCTTGTTCCCCCTTTCCACTGCACTGCCCTCATCTAACCCTCTGGAAACACCATGGGTCTTCTGCCTCCCAACTCTGAGTGCAGGCTGATCCCAAGGCAGCTTCTCCTTGCTCTGCCGTCCGAGCAGCTGGCCAGCCAGGCTCTCCCTTGAGACTCCTGCAGCCAGCCTCCAGCCCACTGTGTCCCCCAAGTTTCAGAGGACACAGGCTAACCCCTCAAATTCTTCCTCAAAGCTCCTACATTGGTTTGAGGAAGAGCGAGCGACCCCATTCTTCTAGGTGAGACCCACAGCTTGGCATGCTCTCAAAAAATTATCTACCGTAAACGTCAGTTCTTTCCTTGATCTCTCTCTCATCTTTCATAGTTTGGAGCGGGTGGTTGGCTGAGAGCACAGAACTGGTCTTCATAAGCACTTTTTGCAAATCTTGCAGCTCACTTTGGAATGTTTCATCTATTGCTTTGGGGCCTCAGTTGAAACTGAGACTAAAATAGTTCCAATTCAGCATCCTGTACAGCTAGCATAGTACATCCCTTTTTCCCCAGGGCATAGCACGTGCAGAAATCATATTTGTGTGGTACTCTAGGGTCAGTGGATGTGCTGTTCAAAGCTGGAGGTGACCGGCCAGGAGCTCCAGCTGCTCTGGGCCCA